GCCTGTAAGTACCGCCCTCCAGGTCTTAAAGGCGTATGTCTCCAATACTGGCTGTATCCCTGAACACACAGAAATCTACCTAGCTCTTCTAACCACTACGCTCTTGCTATGGCTCTAATAGCTCTGACCCCAGGGCAACTTTATTTATTAACATAAAATTAAAATAACATTTCAGTACAAATAAAATATCACCACACCACCACATCTAGGACTTAGGAGTTTTTAATCAAGATGAGATTTAGAGAATATGAGCGCCCCTTTACAGAAGGCTGGTCTCCCCGCCATTGTCAGAGGTGACGGGTGAGGCTGTGTTCACCTGGGGACTTTGCAGAGGCCAATAGGTGACAGAACTGCACAGAAGCCAAGGAGATGATGCCCCGTGTGTAAATGCCCTTGAAAGTACTTCCCAGTTCACCGCCCTGTGGTCTGTCTCTCCTGGACCGACACTCTTTAGACACACCGAGACATTCCCAGTTACCGGACACAGCTTTATTTAAACTTAAATTCCTCCTCAGACTAGGGTATTTTGCTGTTTCCATTTTCTGCCACGGTTCATTGAATGTTGAAGTTTAAGATGATCCATGCCATTGGGTGTGTGGCATGGAATTTCATGGGGTGAATCCTATCTCCTAGATCAGTGGTTCTCAACCTGTGGGTCAGAGATCCTGCAGATCAGATGTTTACATGTCCATGAGAGTAGCAAAATTACTGTTATGGTTGGGGGTCACCACGACACAGGGAACTGTATCTAAGGGTCACAGCATTACGGGGGTTGAGAACCACGGCTTTAAAATGATTTTCAAGAATATCCTTTTCTCTCTATCTGTCTTTTTGAATTCTTTTCTTTCTCTCTTACCTAGTTCGCAAGAAGAGAGTTGAAGGAGACCGGAGGTAAACCTCCACTAACAGAAGTGAAGTCGCACCACGCAGCCATCTGAAAAAACGGGCACAAACTCATCCTCCACGGGACCATCTCATCTAAGGCTGTTCGTTTCCGTTAACCGTGTGCGTCATAATTTTAACTGTTGCTCTTTTTTAGCACTACTTATTTAGGTGAGGTTCTGAAATGTGTGTAGCAGTTTGACTTGCTCCTGGACACGCCTGGTGGCTTACGCCGATAGGATGATACAGATGTTAGATGTCGACAGCGCTGGAGATGATTTTAACCACTTTCATATTGGGTTGGCTTGCTTTCCTCCATGAACGTGTTTTCAGTCATGGAAAGGGACTTAGCGTGTATGTGTGTGTGTATAGCCGATTACAGTAGAGGCCTACCTCTGTTTACATGCATCACTTTGAGCTAGGCTGAGTACATGAGAAGTGGGCTGCTGACCACATAAGAAGTTAGTATTTGCCAATCTTCCACAAATTCTCCGTTAATTCCAGGAACATGTCTCTATGTGTGCATGCCCAGCTGATTCATGGTCGGTGGGATCCTTCCTAGAAAGCACTTTAATACAGCATTAGCAAATTAACTGTTTATTATCCTATGGGTATATCGATAATTCACACACTTATCTTTACTGACTATTAAACATGAATTAAACATATTTGTGTAGGTGTGTGGTATTGGGGATTGAACCCAGGGCCTTGTGCATGCTAGGCAAGCACTCTACCCCTGAGCTACATCTCCAACCCAAATTATATTTAATAGACAATTATTAATAAAGCCATTGAAAGCCTTTCCAGGTATAATAGAAAAATTTTAAATTTCACCAAAAGAAAATTTCAAAATATTACATTCCCAAATAAAACAATAACAGTGACATATAATGGGCTAGAGAGATGGCTCAGCAGTTAAGAGTGCTTGCTACTTTTCTAGAGGACCAGAGTTCAGTTCCCAGCCCCGATGTCAAGCAGCCAACAATGGCCTATAACTCCATCTTCGGGGGAAACTGATGCCTCCAGCCTCTGAGGGCATCCACACACACATGTACATACCCCCCATACATGTACACTTGATTAAAAATAAGTTTAAAAGATAATGGCACCTTAATCAAAGTTTCTGATACATAAGATTGAGTGAATTTGACAAAATTTAAAAGCAATTAATGCCTCGTCTTGAGCATGACAGGTTCACAGGATAAATTGTGGGTATTGTAGTTAATTACATAGATTTTTTTTTTTTTTTGTCATAGGCAATTGCTTCTCTGCCTTTTGGCTAAATCAAGTGCCACTTTTTAATCACATGGTCAATCCAGACATTTGGAAACGTTAGGTAAAAATGCATTGTCAGTTACTCAGATGTTTGTCACCTCAAAGACAAAGCCGGTAGAAAACACAACCGAAATGATGGCATTGATTTCTTAGTATAACCGTTGGACAGTGCAGTGCGAAATTAAGGTGACAAATGACAGAAGGCTTTGGCCGCAAATCACCACTCCTCTCTCCTGTCATTGATGACAGCCTGTGACAGCCCATGTCAGGTAGCTAAGGCTAGCTCCTCTTCTCACCGCTGCGACTGAATAGCTGGCCAAAGGAACAGAAGGGAGAAAGCGTTTGTTTTGGTTCACATGCCACAGCCATGGCAGCTGGAGCACAGGTCACATTGCATTCGCAGACAGAAGGCAGAGAGAAATGAATGCTGGGACTCCACCCACTCTCTCTTTTGTCCCCAGTCTGAGACCCCAGCCTGTGGGATGGCACTACCCACATTCAGGGTGAGTCCTCCCTCCTTGGTTAGACTTCTCTGGGAACACTTTATGTGGTTCCACATCCCATCAGGCTGACAACGAGGATAACTCACAGTGTTTCCCTCTGGTTTCCCTTCTCTTTAGGACTCGGAGTCTTACAGAGGTGAGACTCTTGTACTGTTGGCGGAGCAGAAGCTGCCATCCCTGGCAGATCTTGGGTCTAGGCCTGTATAGTTTTAGTAACTGTGAGTTCCTGAGTTGCTTGGTAGCAGGAAGACAAGTTGATGGGTGAATAACTTAGCTTGAAAAGCACTTGGAATCTGTTTAGAGGGGCCTTTAAAAAACTGGACACTTGGAGGGAGAAACTGGATGCTGACTAGTTCTATAAATACCCATAGCTGAAAGCAAAGTCCTCTGAAACATCTCATTTTCTTGACTCAGTTTTACTTTTTTTTTTTTTCAGGACACAATAAGGAGGGTATTCTGACATTTTTTTTTTTTTGAGTCATCCCCAATCCTTTATCTTCCTGTCAATCTGAAAATGTATTAGTACATTCCATTTGATGGTTTTCAGTCTGATTTTTCTTTCCTTCTCCCCCATTTGGATGTGTTATATTGGAGTCAGTTTGTACAGGTTTGCTGGGTGTTCGGCTTTCAAGAATTCTGTGAATGATTGTTCAACATAGCACTACTAAAAATTAAGGGAAGCCAGGTGTGTTGGCACACACCAGTGATCCTCGCACTTGGAATGGAGGCAAGATCAGTGTTGGCTACATAGGAAGTTTGAAGCAAGCCTGCTACATTAGACCCCCAACCAAGACATATTAAGTGGCATGCACTTACAGTTAAATCAATTATGATAAAGACTAAACTGTGTTCTTGAGATTATTTATGTACATTGTGCCTGCATGGTGTAAATACTACCTGTGGTGTGCTGTGGCACGGTTCTTCCCAGCTCTCAGCACTAACTTCTTGGCTGTGGTGAGAAGAGTCTTTGGAAATTATCAGTGTGTAAGAAACTGTCTCCTTTCTTTCCTCTAGATTGTTGGCAGATAAGCAGTTCTACCTTGGTGAAGTGTGTACGGTGTGTTTGAATCATAATTTTCGGTCACCATGTTGCCAAAGGGAGGATGCTGTGTCTTTCCTCCATCCTGGTCACAGACCTCTTTAAAAGCAGAGTCCCTAGCAAACCTCTACAAGAAATCCTTTTCCTTTCCTCATTCCTTCTCTTTCCTTCATCTCTTGAGAAGCCCCGCCCCTGCAGAGTGTTGTCTGCAGCCCCACGTTTTAGAGAATGGGTTGCAGCTGTTAGCACACCTTGGCAAAACAAGAAAAAAAATACAAGATTTGGATCACAGCTATTCCTTTTTATAAGGAGTTATTAATACTATTAAAGCAAGATAGGAGAACATTATTTTTAAAATCATGCTGCTGTTAGCTTATAAGATGAGTGTATGAGATTATTTGTTACTAATCAGCTGTTTTATTATTATGGATTTTTAAGTGGCTTATAAAATGACATTTCCATAAGTATTTACATATTGAAAATAACTACTAGAAGATCAAACATACATTTTGGGAGAACTCTATCAAGTCATCTAATTAGTCTAAGACTTCACCTCCCTTCTGCCCAAAGTGGACAATTAATTTCATCATGATGAGACATAATATGTGTAAATTATTTTTATATGTATATATTTTGCTAGCTAGTGTGCGGAGTGTTTGCTAATGCCTGAATAGCTGTTTAGAGGGAGCTCATGTTTCCCTCAGCTGTTCCCTTCCCCTTTACAGTTGTACAGGCCCATAGTAAATGAAAACTCGCTCCCCTAGACTTGAAGGTTCCTGTCCCTGATGTCTTGTCATGGCACATGTAGATAGATGGCTTTCAGGAGATGCACTTCTCAAGTCTAGAAATAGTGACTAGTCTAGTAGTACACGTGCATCTCTCTGTCTGCCTCATGTGCGTGCGCAGCTTAAAGCTCCTTCGTCCTTTTCAGCATGATCAAAACCCTTGCTTTCATCTTTGAGAGAAATCAGTTTCCCTCCCTCCCTCCCGCACCCCGCCGTGTGTGTGTGTGTGTGTGTGTGTGTGTGTGTGTGTGTGTGTGTATGTGTAATGTGTATGTATGTGTGTTGTCAGATATCTAACTAGGTATTTGGCTACATCTGGACAACAGATTGAAGGGAGGCTCTCTCCCCAGCTCCACTTCCCTTCCCCTTTTAGAACTGCTGCAGACCCAGGTTCCATGGGAAATTACTCTGGGGTCTGTGGAGGATGACTCTTAGAAAATTCACTGGATTATTACCCCATGAGATCTTCCTATATGCCTAAAGTCTGTATCATTTCATACTCATGAACATCAATTAGCCCCATCCTTCCATCTCTGTAGGACACACTGTATATAAATATTTTGTACATAAGGATCACCAAATACTGTAGTGAGGTGTTTGGCTACATGTAGACCGTGGATTGACGGCACCATGCTTCCCTTGCCCCTCTCAGGGTTGTTGTGGGCCCAGGTTAGAGAATCACGTGCCTGGAGGGGCGGGTGTAGCTCACCCATTTTCAGCACACAGCTCATCTTCCAGTAGAAGCCCATCTCCATGTTAAAGCTCAGAAACTTTCACAGTGCCTGTACCCCTGGAGCCAGTTTTCCTAAAGGAAGACTGGAATACCAGACCATGAACAGCTGCTTCTCTTCCACACATAGATGTGGCCCCTTGTGGGCACCAACGCTGTGGAAGCCACTGCCTTCAGAATAACTGCCACAAGACTTTCCTGATGCACAAAGCTTAGACCTGGCGTGGAAACATCAGCGTGCTCAGACAGCCCTGCAGAGTTGATAAAAGTGTTTGAACGTACTTCCTTTTTCATGGCTGAGACTTACTCTGCCCTCTCCTAAATACCGTGCAAGAGACAGGAAGCATAAGAATTCTGGACTGAGTTTATGCATGTTTTAGTGTTGGAATGATAGACCGATTGCCTTTTTGAAAAGTAGATATCGCCAGGCTGTGGTGGCACACGCTTTTAATCCCAGCACTCGGCAGGCAGAGTCAGGCAGATCTTTGTGAGTTCGAGGCCAGCCTGGTCTACAGAGCGAGATCCAGGAAAGGCACAAAGCTACACAGAAAAACCCTGTCTTGAAAAATCAAAAAAGAAAAAAAAAAAAAGAAAAGTAGATATTGAGTTTGCTTCCCATACCCCTGCTACTTACTCCATTCTCAATTCAAACACTGAGACACACATATAGGAAAGGTACAAAAACTTTCTAACATCAGGCTGATCCCACTAGGTAAACCACAGAGCAGCCTTTTGGAACTAACTGACCGGGGAAAAGTATCCAGAACCTCAGTGTTCACTGTTTCCTTATTCCCCAATTCTACATCTGACTATACTTTATACTCTGGTTCAAGATCCTTACCAAGGAAAGGGCCAGGGATTTAATATTTAAATTAATTTAATGGCAGAACTCGGTTCTGCTCACTCTTCTTAATCTCTCTCCCATCAGCTTAACAGCAATGACCAAACAATCAATAGATAGATGAGCAATGGGTTACAAATTTTAAGTCTGTGTCCTGGGTACTATTCTAGAAATGGCACATGAGTCAGAGGTTAAACCTATTTCAGACATTGTTGCCTTGGAGAGGGTGAAGGAGAGGGTAGAAAAGAGCAACCTACTAACCAGGCTTGGTTAGCTGTGTCTTGTGGCAGTCATTTGGAGCACGTTGGCTCAGCTAGTTGGTATGGTGAATGGGTACCATACTAACAGATTTGGAGGCTAAATCCCAATCCCGTTACCCACACTTAGCAGGTGTATGATCATGGGCAATTCATCTAATTGCCTGCCAATTATAGATTATATGGGGGACGAGCACCAGAAATGGAGTCAAGTGACCTGAACACTTGACTCTGCTCTTTCTTAGCTGGGTGACTTTAGGGGAAACCACTTGATCTCTCAAGCCTAAAGCTCCCCAGCCATTAAATGGGAATAATATCTTTACTAACTACCTCACAGAGTTGTAGTGAGAAAATAGAATCAGATCATCTGATGAAAACACCATAGAAACTAGAAAACACTGTACAAAAGTAGATCACTTTTTTTTTAAATCAATTCACTAATATTTCCCACTGCCTCTGAGTCTGTTTCATTCTGACCAATGATTCATCTTTTGAAGTAGGGCAAATTGGACCATGGAATGATGGAATTGGAATGAAGTAAGGGACTAGAATTGTTTTACTTCAAACATAAAGGTGAGAGGTGATTGGTGGTGGCAGTGGGTATTATAGTTCAGTGATACAAATGATAGATCACTTTGCTGGGTCACGTTGAAAGTACTTTGGAAAGGGCTGGGAAGTAACTCAGTAAGGTGGTGTGCTGGCCTTGTGTTCACAAAGATCCAATCCCCAGCACCGCATTAGCTGAGCAGGGTGGCACAAATCTTCAATCCCAGCAATCAAAAGGTGGAGGCAGGAAGATCAGAAGCTCAAATTCATCCTTGGCTACACAGTGAATTTGATTGAGACCAGCCTGGGCTACATGAGATCCTGTCTCAAAAAATAAAAAGCCCCGAAGAAGTGGTCCCAGTCCTTGGAAATGCTGGGTCCAAGAGGGGAGCTCAAACAATGACTAAGAATTTATGCAAGAGAGTGCTGTGGCCTTCCTGACATTACTAAAGGCGACGGAGGCTAGGTAGGACTCAAGGTATTGCTGGCCACCTTGGAGAGCATCTCCTTAGGGCTCCAAGAGTTTTTTTTATGCCCGGCATCTGTGTACCAGGTGCCAGCTCCATGACACTGAAAGGGAGCAAGCTCTCTGGAGCAGCAGCTACCTATCACCAGCAGCTCAGCCCTGGCCAGCTATTTCTGCCAAGAAAAGCAATGTAGTATGACCTCACCGGGATGGTGTCTCATCGGTCCTTGTATCTTTGGTACCATCTAATAAGGTGCCTTGTACATAGTAGGTGCTTTATAAATGTTGCTTGTGCATCACTGTCCTCCAGCCCTACAAGAATTATATTCTGTTTACAACCATGTGATATATATATATATATATATATATATATATATATATATATATACACAATATATGTATATATTCATAATGATTTGGATGCCAGCTGTATGTGACCTTGGGTAAGATTTTCCATCTGTCTTATCTTCATTTCACCTATAAAACAGTGTGCTCTCTAAAGTCCCTTCTAGATCCCAGACATTACAACCCTGTGATTCTGAACATGGGTGGGTAATATACCCACTGCGGCTCCAGCTCTCTCCAGGAATGTTCTGCAGACAGTTGCTCATTCCTTTTCAACAGTGTTTAAACATTTCAGAATAGTCCTGGAAAAGCAGCCTTGTCAGGAAGGCTACTTCCGGGCTGGGAAGGTAGCTCAGAGGTAGAGCATTTCCTGGCATGTGGTTCAATCCTTAGCACTTAAAAATAAATTAAAAAAAAAAAAAAAACTTGAAAGGTTTGGGGATGCTTCCTTCAAAAACAGAAAGAATATCTTTATATCTATATATAATATTTTCCTCCTCTGAATCAGAGAGAAAGGAGGGGAGGAGATGCAAAGAAAGACACTGACCAGTATGTTTTTAATAGACTTTTATTTAATATCTGTGTATTTGCATTTCCAAGCACATGTTGATTGCACACCCACCAAGAGACAATCAAAAGTGCACTGTGTGTTGAAAGACACTGGCCCAGGATTTTAAACTTCTGTGGACACCATCTAGGTGTGGGTAGACAGAAATTTGCCAAATGGAGAAAGGAGATGGATAGAAAGTACACTTCCTGAGTAATTTTACGTTAGTACCAAATGTTAGCCATGACAATCTTTATTTAAATTATTCTAAGCCAGGCATGGTAGTGTACATCTGTAATCCCAGCAGTTGGGAGGTGGAGGCAGGAGGATCAGAAGATCAAGGTCATCCTCAGCAACATAGTAAGAAGTTCAAGACCAGCCTGACACGTGAGACTTTGTCTTAAATTTTAAATAAATAGATAAATGGAATAAAGTAATTTGTATCTCTGCTTTCTTTTAAGAGCAAAAGTATGTACATGAAAAAGCATATTTATATTTTAAGTAAGCCTTTATCTGTTTTATGGTTTTTTGTTTTTTTGTTTTTGTTTGATTTTTTTTTTCAGAAAACAAGCAGCATTTTTCATCTCACATAAAAATGTAAAATACTTGCATGCCACCAGTCATAATGACTTCCTGGTTCTATGCCTGTCAAGTGTGACCTTATGTGTACTGTTACCTGTATCGTGTTGAGACTAGGGGACATAATACGCTTGTAAACTTGTAAATGTTATTGGTAACACTTGTTTAGCTAAGCAGATTCTGAAAAGCCACGTGGCTTTATTTTTCATTTGATATTTTTTGATCAAAGCTAGATGGCTGGTTCATTCACTAGGAAACTAAAGACTAACTTGCTTTTTAAATGTGAAGTTAAACATCTTGGGAAATAAGGAAAATGTATGAATTTTAAACTAATTTTATCCTCATAATTAGGAACCCCATTGGCCCAGAAAAGTGGAATTTGGGGCCCTTGGGAATTAGCCACCGAGAGCTAATGTTGAACTAAAGATAAACTTTCAGTCAGTCAAGATCTTTGTGCTTTCGAAGATGTCATGTCTTTATTTGTGTCTGGAATGATAGTTGTAAATGAACATGTAAAAAAAATAAGAGGGGGGGTCAATAAACTTAACTCTAAATGTAAATGCCTGGTTCCTGGCTAGTCTTAGAGTCTCTCTTCAAAATAAATGCCTGACACTATGTTCTTACTTAAGAACATTTGCAGAAAGAACGGTGACACCTTAGAACAACAACAACAACAAAAAAAAGACACAACACAGTAGCCACAAGAGAAATGGAAACATGTTGAAACCAAGACTCCCATGTGGTTACACAGTTGAAGTCTGTTAGAATAATGGGGAGCAGGAATACAGACAGTTACATGTAGCTGTGCATACTTTCTGCTAGCTAACACTAAAAATAACCAAATTTCCTGAATAAAGATGTGACCTCGAATAACAGAAAAGCCCCCACTTCCTGCTTCCCCACTGAGTTCTGGCTCAGCTTGCTGATGCCCAGATTTCATCGTTTAGGCCCATGACAGTCTGAGAAGCAGAGAGGGCCTCCATCTAGTCTATATTTGCTGCCACCCACCTCCATGAGGAAATATATCGCTCTATTGTTTTGCTTAAAGCATTCTCCTTTTCAGGGGTGAGGGGTGTAGTTTGGTTGGTAGAGCAGAGCCAGCCTTGGGTTCCATCCGTAGCATCACATAAAACCCCGTGTGGTGGTGTATACCTGTAAGCCTGGCATTCAGGAGGTAGAGGCAGGAGGCCCAGGAGTTCAAGGTCATTCTTAGCTACACAGTAAGTTTGAGGCCAGTTTGAGCTATGAGACCCTGTCCTTTTCAGTCTGTGGCATTGTGGCTAGTAGAGAAGACAAGTATACACACTGAGGTCATCCTTGTCTAGTTAAAACCTCATAACCATGAGTCTAAGATAGATAGATAGATAGATAGATA